CATTAGATATAAACCACGGCGTCAAGGCAGTAGACTATCACCACGCCAGCATTGTGTAACAGTGTCGATGTCAGTATGAGCTGATGAAGACATGTACATCTGTGGTCAGCACTCAGTCTACCAAAACATGGGATCGGCCTTCATTGGCCCTGCATGAGACATTGGGTTTTAAAGCATTTACCCGATATTATTATGTCCTGTGGCTCAGACATTTGCCAGATACTGTAAAGAGATAAGTTTGACACCTTACGACAAGCAGACTCTACGCCAATTCATTTCCGCTTCCTTCTATTTGTCTTCAGACGCACCCGATTTAGCAATAATTTAAAGCATTTCGAACCTTAAATCTTGAGATATCTTAAGTATGTAAATACGCAATGAGTATGCCCTTTCCATCATCTACTCCAAATCTACCCAGCACTCAAGTGTGAAAAATTACGCACTTTACTGTCATAAACGTCCTAATGGCGTTACTCAGCATGCCTGGCTCAACATTGGAAAATGAGACGTAATTTCAATGATAGGGCTGAATTCCTTTTACTTACATTGAATCGCGTTATGGTACGAGACTTTCATCTTACATAATTCAATAAAGATAATAGGCTGGAGCACAATGAATTGATATGATTAGCGGCGGTGGAAAGTCTCTTCCACGCGGTACACCAGGCCGGTAAGCGCCATATGGTCGTCTTAATAACCGTACTGCAAGACGGCGTGGTGTTTGGCAGCAAAGTGCGTTTATATCAGTCGTAAAGACGCTGTAAAGTTATCAATCACAATTGTACTTTCGGGTCCATCTGGCTGCCTCCAAATATAGAAGATATTCTGTTCGATTACGATATCAGAAATCCTGAGAAAATATGTTCCCGAAAAGCGCTCGTCTTTTACAGTCTTGCGGCTATCTAAAAAAGCTTTGTTCAATCACCAATTAAACAATCGCTAACCAAATGCCCACTTAAGACATGAGATTGAATTGTAAAATTCATCATGAGTTTTACTAGTTACATGTAGCTTGATGTTCATTTTACAACTTTTGCAATTCTTTTGTCGTTAGACTACGACCTTATGCACAAACGCTGTCTTCTGGTCGCACATTTTGTGGAGAGCATTTAATGCTTCCAGCGCTTTGCCTCCATTTCTCTCGAATAAACGTTGTTAAAAAAAATCTCAGAATAGGATTCAAGATACTACACCTTCAACAAGGGATCCCTCCCCTGAACATCAAAAGTACCTCGTTTCCTCTTCCCTTCTCCCTCTCCAAAAACAAAACAAAAAGCAATTTAACAAGTGAAGAAAGATGAAACTGCAGTCCAGTCTCACGGGAAAATGTTAGCATTGTGTTCTACCGCCCGTCACATGGCGGGCTCCCTGTGTCAGTTGACTCTTTAAATGGCGGGATTTAAAGTCCAGTTATGGTTGAGAGTTGTCATGGGTTAAGAACAGCGTTTTTTGTCATTTTTTTCCGACTTTTTCCGCACATCTCGGATTGAGACATGTGCAGTGCCGGCCCTAAGCCAAATCACGGCGCTTCCCAACCCCGCTAGCCCGCGGGTATCAAGTAACTTCTTCAGCTTCAACTTGCAGGACAGAAGTGGCTAGGATATTTGCGTTTCTTATCGTCAATGCCATTTTGACCTTTTCCTGTCCAAGAAACAAAATAATTCAGCGGCTCTATTATGTTTAGCAAATTGCTGAGAGCTAAAAGCATTACTTCCTTTTCTGTCATTTCGAAGGTTGGTCTAAGGGAAAGAAAACAAATACCTTTGCACTTTCTATCACTGTCCGTGCCGAACAATAACCAAATACGACACCAAATAACGACATCAATCACCCACTAATGGATTGAAATCACGCATGAAATGGAAGGGAGATAACAAATAAAGATAGGATCAGTAGCGGTGCTCATCCTCCTTCCCCTGCATTTAATATCCTCTCCTACGCCAATACCGATTCATTCCACGTGCAATAAATGCCCAAACGTCGCATACAAAGACTAATGGACGGATAGCGTTATTAATAACGCCGACACTGTCCACTGGAAAATAAGGCCATTTATTTACTGCAAAGAGATTCAATTCACCGGTCCAATTGATTCTTTTCGGTCTGAGTAGATAAAGATGACAAATGCCCAATGTCCAATTTAGAGTGTAACGTGTAAAGACACATAGACCGCTCTGCGTGAGTTCATTAGAAAGAATTACTGTATGGGAAATGGCAAAGTCAGATAAGTATATTTGCAAGAGAGCAAAAGGGAAGATTTTTCATCCACAGAACAACTTCTATCACTTATTAGGAGAAAGTATGGCGTACAAAGACAAATATGGAAAACGGTGGGAGGGCCCATTTCAACTAAAACAAGTTACTAGACTTACGTATTGATAGTGATACGTAGTTTGTCCCCAACAAATTCTTGCTCAATTTTAGATCTTTCATTTTATCCTTTTTTAACTTTCTGACTTTAATTTAGGCATCAGTCTCTGTATTTTGACCTACAGCATGCAAGCCTGGCCTCCGATGCACCACTCCCCACTTTGGTCGGATCCAAAAATTGAATACACTCGTGTACGTGCCCCACCTTTCTCTGAAGCAAGAGCTTTGTTCTATTCATGTCTTACATTTTCACCATGTGTAGTAATGTAGTTTGTGAGGAGGCATACCGTTGAGACGCAATTATGTGCTTTTTTGTGGACAAAAAGAAGATTTGAGACAAAAAAATGCTGCAAATGGTGCTTTAAGAAATCAGAATCAAACGTTCGGTATATCCAAACGTTATGGCGTAGAGTAAAATGAAATGCTCACATACGGTGACAGTGGAAATCTATCTGGTTTCTTGAAATATTGTCATGTGTAACATGCAAAAGTCGCATTAGAAGAAATTGTATCAAGTTTGGCTAAAAGCTATTTACCAGTCTTACACTGTCTCTGGGGGTATAGTCAAACCCATAGGATGAGCAAGAACCTGCTGCAAAAATCGTTCCGTTTGGGAAAACCTAAATAACCCCTTTTAATGTCACTCCTCGCCATGGCTATTGTCAGTCCCCAAGGTTTATCTAAAAGATAGCTAGGGTCAAGTAACAATTGTAATTTCTAGAAATAACTTTATGTATGTTTTATAAGAAACCAAAACATAAAACACACATTCAGGAATATCGATTAAATCCGGCAAAATTGGTCTGCAGTTAGATTCACTCCGGTCACTGAGGCACACACAGTGAAACTTGTCCGCAAAATATGGTTATTTTTCTCTCTCCGTGGCTGACCTGTCACGGCTGGTCTGAACATTGTGCCTGCTTGACTTGACGTCAAGTTTTGTACAATATCTCAGTCAAGATGATATAATCCTACCTCTTAATATTGCTGCAAGTATTTCACTATGTCTTTATTATGCCTATAGATACAAGAGTATTACTGATACCTCATCAAACATCTCAGTTCCATGCCAAGAAAAGGCTACTGACATCTTGTAGATATGTGCTAAATATTACAACTCTTTAGGAAAAAAGCCTCAAGTCCGTCATTGGCCTTAGGAGAGTTAAATCTTCAGACGCAATGCTTTTCTGTTACCATGATAAACTCACTTTAAAACCATAATTAACACGCGTAAAATACTGTAAGTCTCCGATGACTTGGGTTAGACAGTGTGGTGAGAACGCAGTTAGAGAATCAACACAGAAACATACACAACGGCACGCGGGTCTTATTAACTGTAGACTTACCATTTGCCCTGAGTAGGACAGTTTGACTGTGTTCTGATTCCCCAGAGATGCAGTGGTGACACACAATGTGACAGCAACTACTGTAAATAAAAAGGCGGTGTGATCGCTCTCCCGGGAACACACGCCGGTGTTACAGGAATGGAAGTCCGCTAGGAAGCGCACTCAGTTCCCCATTACTTTGTACAGGTGACATTCGTCCCATTTACTAACCCCAATAATCCGACTAACCCTAAACTGTACTAATCATATTGGAGTCCGGACTTCAATTCCTAGGACTACCATTCCTGTCACACCGGTAGTTTTTAAGAGTTTAAAAAGATTATCAAATTTCTCGAATAAAATGATGAAATTCTTTCAGCAATGTTTTGGCAAATAGAAGGCGGGGGTTTTCAGTGTTCGTATTTTAATGTTTCAACATTATTTCCAATTTTATGTTAATCTTAATGTTATTTAAAATGAAAGTATTGGTTGAAAACACGATATAAGCATATTATTGGAAGTATCGACATATCAGTGGACGCAAACAACCTATCGTTGACAGATGAGCTATATTCTCGGAATGTTAAACTGGTGTATTCCTTGATCTGAAAATAAAAGATTCGGCTCACTAAAAGACAATTGCCTGTGCCTTTCAAGACTTAAAACAGCCACGGTGCAAGATTATTGTTACTGTCTTAAATTTTTTATTCAGTTTTTAGATACCCTGCACAATTAATCTTAACGTTTGAAATCATGATATCCTTTGCACGCGCTGGGAAAATGCATTTCCTCCGTCATCGAGGATTATTTATTTTGTCTTGTAATTGTTCGACTTTTCACTTATAAATTTGAGGACATTAAATTATATCCTTCCACAGACACATCTAACCTTGATAATGTTATCTTCTTTTGGTACATGTAATGATTGTGATATTCAGCGTCGTTATCTTAGCCCAATTCCATGCAAATATAAGTACAAACTACCTGCTTCTTCCTCGGCAACAAACCACAGACAATAAACACACCCTAGGACAGGTGACAAAAGTAAAGCACTTCCAGTGTTCTACTAAAGACTTCATAATACCATTTCTAACGACATTTACAAAGAAAATGAAATGGCTTTTTTCATTAAACGCGTAGACTGCTGATGTCATAAGATGACGTACGTTGACAAAGATTCAATTTCCTTTACTGTTTCTTTTTTCTAAACCTTACATTTCTAGATAAATAGTTTTTCAATGTTCTTTCGAATGTGATTTTGATATAACAGCACCAATATCAAACATTCTCCACCTCTCTTTCCAGTCTGGAGACGACGCTGGCTCTGATGACGTCAGTCGAGAACTGGACACTCTTGGTCAGGGCTACGCCCCTAGCATGTATGGCCGCCAGCTGGACAACCTAGGGCAGGGCTTCGTCCATTCCATGTACGGCAGGGAGTCCGAAGATGGCGACGAGGCGAACGCAGAGCCAGTGGACGAGGCAGAAGAATGGGGGAACGTTGCAAAACGACCCTTCGATAAGATCGGAAGTGGCCGGATGGCCTCCTTCGTGAAACGCCCCTTCGACAGAATCCAGAGCGGCCGCATGTCGTCTTTTGTCAAACGACCTTTCGACAGGATCAACGCAGGCAGGTTGGCGTCCTTTGTCAAACGACCTTTTGACAAAATCGGCAGTGGACGACTGGCTTCTTTCGTCAAACGCCCCTTTGACAGGATAGGCGCAGGGAGAATAGCTTCTTTTGCGAAACGACCATTCGACAGAATCGGCGCCGGCCACATGTCATCTTTCGTGAAACGTCCATTCGACAGAATCCAAAGTGGCGCCATGGCGTCTTTTGTCAAAAGAGAAACTTCAAAAGGTATTATTTCTATGAGAACAACGTTTTAAATGGTTTATCTTTTCAATGACCTTGATGCCGTGCGTTGGCCCTGAAAAATTTCACTTTCATCTGCGGCTCAAACTGACTTTATTTCTAGTAATAGTACTTCGACATTTGTGAAAGTTTAAGATTATATCAAATAATTATACAGAAAATTCCTTTAGATTGGATTTGTGTAAACTGTAAATGTCAAATTACCCCCTAGATTGAAGGCCGTCGGGTGAATTAGATATGATAATAAGTCTTTAACTTTATTTTGTTACAGAGATTAGCCAAAAGGAAACTGCCAAGGCATAAAAGTCACCAGAAAAAAAATGTCCCACTTCAATTCTTTAGGTGAGCAAAAAAATGACAATTTGATTAATGTTTGGGGTTTTTAACTTCAGTTTTTCATTTTACAAATTTTATTTGTGGTATGTTAATTAAAATTAACGACTTGACTTTTAATCGATGTCTTCTAGCATATATTATTTGTTTGTTTGTTTGTTTTTTTTTTTTTTTTTGTTTTTGTTTTTGTTTTTTGTCATTGGCGCTGAGTAGAATACAGTCCAAGTGACTATCAGATCTAAGCGTTTTGCAGTCATGTGTTGGCAGTCAGTCAGTGCGCCGGGGACTTGTTGGTTGTTCTCTGACTAGTTTTCTGTGTCAGTTCTGACAGGAATCTTGTTGTCCATCTTGAAAGAAATGCCCGTTAGAAAACTCTTGAATGCTTCCCTCCTACCAAAGGTACTGTTTCTGCTAAGGAGCTTCAGGTGTAGTTCCATACACTATAACTCCAAGAACAATTAAAATGTAATAGTTGAAACGCAGGCCAGCTTGTTCAAGATATCTTAAAACAGAGAGGTGATCATTCCTTTCCCTGTTAAAATCATTTTCCAATAAACGTGATGGTAAGACAAACAGACAAACCGACAAGCATTGTCTTGTATGCTAGAAACAGCAAAATGCTTTTAAATATACGTAATCAGTAGTAATCCACAACCCACACACTGGCAGGCGTGGACTTCCCACCACTAAACTCAGCCTCCGTGCTTTATCTCCTTTCTTTTTTTTGGTATTCTTCCATCGCAAATTCTCGTTCTTATTGGAGGGTTTTTGCACACAAGTCGTAAATGAAGCTATCTTTACGACGTGGATGTCGGTCGAAATGACGAAGAGATCATATAAATGAGGTTAACATTGTTAGAAATT